CAATGAACAACTGACTTGAACTGGATTGTGTCCCAGGCCTGGGTCTCCTTCCACCCACACTTGTCACTGGTTGCTAGAAGCTCAGGCCCCTGCGGTTCCTTCTTGGCTCCTCTAAGTCCAGCCACCTCTATGATAAAATGAAGGGGGGAGAGGCAGGCAGGAGGAGGAGGAGGGCGCGGCCAGATACAACCGGCTGCTCTGGCGACTGCTGGCCCCGCTGTACCCTGCAGCTTCGGCTCCTGCCAGGCTTTCAGCCTAGTGTGCACTTTCCATTAACAATAAACTCTGGAAACGGGAAAGGCTGCCTCGGACGTGTGCATCAGGCTCTAAAAATGACGGAGTGAGGTGCCCCAGAGAAGGCAGCCGGTTTTCTCATTCTAAAAAGGCAGGAAATGTAGAAAGAGGGAAAGACTTTGACCGGAAAATAAACAAGGGCTCTATGGCTCCCGTCCTTGCGCATCCTTAAAGGGGCCAAAGTCATCATTGGCCCCTTGGTGACTGTCACCGGGAGGTGGAGGCCACAGCCTAGTGTAGACCCTGGGGCTGTTTCGGGGACTGGGCTCCTTCCTATCCAGCAGGCTGGCTAGGCATCAAGCAGACATAAGCACAGTCTAGTTCAGGACAGCTCAATAGGATGGTAACCCCCTAGGAAACAGGTTCCATCAAGTCCCATGGTCCCACCTGTACAAGAGTCCTGCTCACCACCCCAGCCCATCCTCACTAGTCTCCAGCCTTTCTCTCTACGGGCTGCATGGTGAGGAAGCTGAGGAATAGCTTCACGTGCACATGCCCTGGAGCACGGCTTCTGTAAGATCTCCTGGGCAAAGAAGATTCCGGGGTCAAACACAAATAAAATGCTGATCCTTGCTGCCCTCTCCCAGTCTGGTTTCCTTAACTGAACCTCGGCTGGTCAACTGGGCCACTCGGTATTCCTACTGACACCCTGAAAACCTAGTCAGGAGCCATTGTGAGAAGCAGGTGGCATCTGAGTGATAAAATTAGCCCCTCAATGTCATGCACTGGCAACCCCGTCAGAGAACTCCCCACCAGGTCCGGCCTGGCTCTGGGACAGCATCTCTCACCCCTCACCCGGGCTCATAGGAAGCAATCCAAGTCTCAAGGCCTCGGTCCTGAAGGCAACCTCCATGAGCTAAATGCAAGTAAGAATTCTAGACTTGGAGGTGTGTGGCGTCAGAGGTGAAGCTTCTTGAGTTCCTTCTTGATAATAGCAACATGTGTTGTAGCCCTACTATGCACAGGCCCCATGCTAATAAACGTTTGACATGAGTTCTGCCACATAGGTGTGGTCCTCTGAGTCTCCTTGGAGTATAGATCGCCACCCTTGGGGGCAGTTAGGCTAATGACTGATGGGCACAGCTCCAGAGAGCTCAGCCAGCACCAGGATTGGGCCCCAGCAGGCTGACTGCGGACTCCAAGCTCTTGGCCTCTATATTATTCTTCATGCACATCAATTCCTCTGACTTCTCCTCATCAGATCAATGAGGTTAATGATTTCCAAATATGGTCCTAGGGGGACTCAATGAGTCTGTCTTCAGCATGGCGCCTCCCAAACTGGTGCTCCGTCAATGGAAGCCATCCCCATCATACTTCACCTGCCTCTTGGGCAGCTACGGCAGAACAAAATCCCTAAGATCTTCCTCTCCCCGACCGCAAGGCTCTTTAAAACGGGTTATGGCTGCCACAGAAAAACAAGGTTTTTCAAGCAGGAAGGAACGTCGCGGTCACCTATTATTTTTCCAGAAGTCTAGGATATATAATTTATAAGAGCAAGGCCTTGGGAATTCGCCCTGAAGAATGACCAGCTTCCGCACCCTCAGCCCAGGGCTCCTTGCCCATGGTTAAGGTCACTATCGGCGAGGTGGTAGGAACACTCTCGGCCATTCTTCTGGAGAAATGGGCTGCTTCCCTTGGGCACTTTTACAACTGGTTATTTATAAGCCCAGAAATCTTGTCTGTGTTTATGTTATTAGTCACTAAGCAAAAGCTTATTTTCCACCAGTTGGGAAGGGTTTCCTTTCTAAAAAATGAAAGCCTGTGTCTCTTGGCCAGACAGTTTTACCCAGAAGCCCAGCGGCTCCAGAATGGTAAGGAAAACTGTGGCCCTCGACATGCCAGGCCTACCAGGAGACTCAGGGCTCTGAATAGAAACTTGGCCCAGCCAGAATTAGCCACGGCACCAGGCCAGGTCCATGTGGGGCGCTGCCCTGGGTTTGGGTAAAGCAACGAAGTTTTGCAAAGCACCTACTATGTGGATGGCATTGGGGATAATAAGAGAAGGCTTTGCCAGGTTGAGAGAGGGAGGGAAGACCAGTCGGGGGGAAGGGGCGGCAAGAGGAAGGGAACAAGCGGAGCGCGCCCAGCCGCTGGCAGGTGCCAGAGAAGAAGGGGAAGAAGGGTCTATGAATGGAACAGGGAGGCCTCAGTGCCCACCAGGAGCCCCAGGGCAGTCAGATGACCAAACACTGCCCAGAATGATCAGAGAGATGGAGGCGAGAGCCAGGAAGCATGCAGGATCCTGGACCTATGAAACAGTCCAAGGGTCACTTCTTCCCAGATCCCCAGGCAGCGAACCTCCTTCCCTAAACACACAATCAACTGTTAGTGAACAAGGACTGCAAGCCATGGTCTCAAGTGTTCAGCCCTCACAATGACCCCTATGAAACAGGTCCAGGCTGAGTTTCTCTCACCTGAAATGCCTGGGACCGAAGGCGTTTCAGATTTTTTCAGATTTTGGAATATTTGCATATACGTAATTGGATGGGACCCGAGTCTAAACATGAAATTTATTTGTGTTTTATACACACTTTATAAATAAAGCCTGAAGATAATTTTAGG